TTGAGAGTAATATTGCCATTTTTCCAAAAATAAGCTAATTTTGTTTATACACACATGTGTAAATATTTTATGGAAATTAGGACCTCGACTCCCTTGTTATATCGAAGAACTTCATGCCGTTTGGTCGAGGATCGAGACAATGCGCAGGGGCAGAGTATAGTAGGGTGTTCTTGGCCACCTTTCTTCATGTCTTGGTCACCAAATATAGGTACGTACATTTCACCATTCCCCTCTTATTTTTTATCTCATTTTCTTACCACAAGTTACAAATATACTGTGTGCCTACAAGCAAGGGCGGAACCAGGAATTTTTCAATGGGTGGGCTAGCTAAAGTTATTAGCTTAAAATTTAATGATTATTTTTTTTGGTACTTCAAATTTCTATAGTCTTTCCAGAAATAAAAGTAAACATTAAATCATATATACCAAGCTAGTTCATAGCTCCATAGACTAATTTTCAATAAGTTTTAACATAAACTAAATAGGGTTTAACACCATAGTGGATTGAACATCTAAGGCTTTTTACCTAGATTGACCTTAAGTTCCTTCATGCATTCATATCATACATGAAAAGTTGTTTTATGTAAAAATATTGACTAAGTATGAAAAATGAGTTTTCGGAATAATTATTTTCTCAAGATAATTTTTGGCGGCTTTTATTCCTCACACGTCAAATAAGAAAACTTGATTTTATGGGATTTTAGTATGAAATATATATTGACTTAATGAGCCATCATTTTTAGCTTAAATTGTATTTTGTACTAAAACCGATTTTTCATATTTTGACTTTGTGGGAATTTGATTTTCTAGTATTTTTATTTTAATCCAAATGGGGGGTACTTCCTTATTTACATTGTAAACTTAAGTAAATGGAATAATATAAAAATAAATAAAAGTAAAATGAGAAAGACATTTACTTAAATGTTGAAAATGGAAATAAAGTAAGATGTACAGCGCCACTAACTGGGCTAATATTGAAAATAAGTTAAATATATAGGTTTTATATTTTTTTTCTTAAAAACTCACACTAGGCTACAGCCCACTGTAGCATTTAGTGTGGGTCCGCCCATGCCTACAAGATTTTTGATAGAGCTTAATCATCTTTTGGATTTTAACTTTTTTGTTCATAGCTGGAAAACGATCAAAGCAGGACGCATTGCTCGAAAGAATATGTTAGTATTTGGGCCAAGCATTCACATTAAGCTCTCGGAGAAGAAAAACTGAGATATTTTTCAAATTCTGTTTATGGGAAATGATCGAGCACTTGTCTAGATGTACCTATAATTAAAAATAACGTGCAATTAAGTTATGAATTAGCCCAAAAACAGGAAAATCTATATAATTAAGTTGGAATAATTGAGGGTTGTGCACTAAAAAGGCCTCCCAGTTATCAAATATTCACTACATGAGTTATTCTAAATGAGTTGTTCTATCTGGTTGTATGGGGATTCAGCCTCCTTGTTTCTTTTGATTTAATAAATAACCGATTTTAAGTTTACCTTTTTTAACTGCCAATGCATATTAAGGAATCCACAATATGAAAGTATTAACAAATCTGCGTAAAATTTGTAAATTTTTTTAATACGTAAAAATACCTTGGATTGGACCAATATTATTATTGTTCATATTCATTGGTTTGAATACGAGTATTTACTCCAGAGGTCTTAGGTTTGATTTCTCTCTTCTTTAACAAAGATGGAAGATCTCTTAGTCCAATGCTCTACAAATGATGACAAATCTCTCAACCAACAAACAAATCGATGAGATGCTGAAGGGTGAATTTTCGGATACCATGAAGGAAATTTAGGTTCCACCCCAAAACCAATTGGCAATATGGGGGAACCTAACCTCAACTTCCTTCATGATATCAGAGTCAGGTGAGTCCACGTGTGAAAGTCTAACGGTCACACGTGCTCCACGTCACTCAATATGTGTTGTCCACGTAATAGGCTTGAAAATTCATTACAAGTGCAGGAGCGTGTGAGAATGTGAAGGTAAAAATCCTCACATTGGAAAGTTGAAAATAGAAAGTCCCATATAATAAATGGCTCCACTCCTAATAAAGTTTAGGTCTTTTGTATAAAACCCCACACTTGCTAAACAGGTGGTTAAGTTGGGGACAATATCAATGTTGCTAATGCTGGGCCAAGGGTTCGTTTCTCTAAAATCTTAACATGTATCAAAGCGGGCAGGTTGACTTGGCCCGATTTAATCCAAATCAAACAAAACCCCAAATTGAAATAATATAAATAAATATATATATATATATATATAAAGTGAATATGTGAAATTGGTTGCACGTGTGGCCTACTAAAAAGTGATCCCACGTAACATGGAGTGTTGAAGAATACACACAATTCCACATTAGAAACTTAACACATTTCTTTGCCCTCTTGTTTTATCTCATTTGGATCTCAAGTTACAAAAATTGTGGCTGCAGATCTTGACAGATCTTAACCAAACCATCGTTTGAATTTCTGTTAATAGGTGGACAACGATCAAAGGGCACGCATTGCTCAAAATCCCATGTTAGGATTTAGGGATGGCATTCACAACAAGTTTGAAGAGAAGAAAAACTGACATTATTTTTTCTTCAACTTGTTCAGATGTTATTCTTGAATATGCAGCAACAAAATTGTCCAATTGGAAAAGCCAAAAACAAATATTTAGACTTATCTATCTTATTGAAACTTGAATCTGACTTTAGGGTTTCAAATAATTCCTCAAACATTGGGAGCTTCATGAGTTTGCAGAGTTTATTACAGTAAACGATGATAATATGTCATGAAATTTCCCATATATTACGTAAAAGTATTAAAACCCTATTCAACCTTTACCCAATGGACATATCTCTTAACATAACCAGTCATACAATGACAACTGGCCAAATTTCAAAAGACTAAAGAGCCCTTAGGATCCTATCAAAAAACAGCAACATGTAGACTAGTATTACTAAGCCTAGGTTTACTTTACGTCCTCAACTTCCTTATTATGATAATTGATCACGTGACTAATATGTAAAGTTATGAGAAAACATAACATAACATAACATAAAAAATAATAATAATAAAATAAAAGAATGTATGGAGATTTTATGCAAGCCCAAGAAAAGTGATGAATAGTTCTCAGGGACCCGTTCTGGGTTCATGCCTCGTTGCCATCCCTACTCAGCGAAATTCTATACTGATGGCTGCCAGTACACATGTAAGGTCCATATATCGCGACATTAAACATAGAACGACTCTCTCTACTTGAACCCCGCCTCCTCGAGCCATCTACTGAAGGCCCCACGAACAGTTGGGCGGGTGGTTGTGAAATATACAGTAAATTAAGCTAACAAATAAAAGTTAGAAATTAACTTCATGGATAATCTGTCGGGTATTAGAGAAATTGACTTAATGGGCCAGCCCCATTGTACAAAAAGGATGAAGATTAACAGTAGCTCTAGGCTTTTAAAAACAGGCTTTCTCCACTTTTCAACATCACTCTGTTTACTTCCACTTTTTTAATTCCAGGTAACCTTTTTGAATTTTTGGACTAGGACAAGACCTAATATTCATCTCATGCATATCAAATTATATGTCCCATCTTGTTTTGTTGTTCTTTGGGGTTTACCCCCTTTTTCAATTGAAAACCAAAAAAAAAAAAATTATGTCGCATCATAATAAGATCTCAAGTCAAAAGACTTATATGATTTGATGAGAATAAAACAAGTAAGCACAGAAACACATGTGTGAATAGTTGGATCCATTAAAAACTTTATGATATGATTTTTTTTCTTTTTGGTAGCACATCATGTGTATATCTACCGATGTTTTCTTTGTTGTTTTAATATTATTGTTCTAGACTTCGAGCCTCTACATTTAGAGCTTGTGCATTTATTTACATTTTGTAATATCTGAACCTTTCTATTAATCTATCCGTTTAAAACATGACACATCAAAAACATAAGTATTAAATTCTTTTTTCTTTTTTTTCTTTTTTCATAAAAAGAAGTGTTTAAAGTTAACAAGTCTTTTATTGTTTAAATAAAAAATAAAGGAAAAATCCACAAAAATTACCCATAACCTTCAATGTACATGAAAAAGTGTTATATGGAAGATCAAAATGGAATATCCTTTCAATAAACATGACTCATCGCCCCTTATCAATATAATCAATTTACCGAAAAAATACATTCAACAATTTGGAGAACCAGTTTGATTTGTATTTTGCTTTTGTATTGCACCTACTTATTTCATGGTTGTAACTTGTAGGGGTAGATCTGTGGTAGAGACAAGACAGTGAAATGGTGGCCTGGGTGGCAGGGATAAGGGTGGGAATGGTAGCTTATGCACTCCCTTTATATAATACACATTGAAGATGTTAGATCAAGTTCGAAGGAAATTTTTATTTATTTATTTATATTAATCCGAATCCTATCTGAAATCTCTAGGAAACTCATACAGATATCCGAACGAGGGTATATAATATATTATTGATTATAACATGTAATTGTCTGCTTATATTTACATAAGCATACAAAGACTGATCATAGCAGCAGCAAACACACTTCTTAGATCAGAATGTGGGAAAGAAAGTTGCCATTATAGGAGCTCGAACTAGTGGCCTTCTTGCCTGCAAGTGCACACTTTCAAAGGGCTTTCAGCCCATTGTGTTTGAATCTGCAAGCACCACTGGAGGAGTTTGGACCAAAACTATTGAGACCACCAAGCTCCAAACTCCTAGAGAAGCTTACCGATTCTCAGATTTCCCATGGATCAACAAAACTCTATGTGCCTGGTCAAGTAAGGCCTCTGTTGAAGTGGAGCATGCAGGCTCAGTTATAAATTTCAACCCCACTTAAATCTTAATCACTTATTTTATTTTTCAGTACTGCTTTTTTCTGCTGCTGCTCTTGTCATACTTAACAAAACTTTTCTCGCCACATCAAATCATATGCTCACCATTTTGACTTGCTCAAGCATCTCAAATTCAACACCAAAGTGTGTGGGATTGAGTATGAAGGCCACTCTGAGGATGAGATGCAAGCTTGGAGCTTGTGGGGTGGCTCTGGAGAGCCTTTCAGCTCCAAAGGGAAATGGAAAGTTGTAGTAGAAGACAAACAAAGCCTTTCAACTGAGGTACAAGTATAATATGTACAATCGAGTTTATATTTTATTATGTTATGTCTTTTCTTTGCCTTGCAGATATGGACCAATATTTCGGACTAGTTTGGCGGGTAGACCGGTTGTAGTCACAGCTGATCCTGAGTTCAATAACTACTTATTTCAGCAAGAAGGGAGGATGGTGGAGCTGTGGTACTTGGACACGTTTTCGAAGATCTTCGTCCATGAAGGTGAATCTAAGACGAACGCAGTTGGTATGGTTCACAAGTATGTAAGGAGCATTTTCTTGAATCACTTTGGTGCTGAGAGGCTTAAGGAGAAGCTACTCCCTCAAATAGAAGAATTTGTCAACAAAAGTCTATGTGCCTGGTCAAGTAAGGCCTCTGTTGAAGTGAAGCATGCAGGCTCAGTTGTAAATTTCAACCCCACTTAAATCTTAATCACTTATTTTATTTTTCAGTACTGCTTTTTTCTGCTGCTGTTCTTGTCATACTTAACAAAACTTTTCTCGCCATTGCAGATGGTTTTTAATTTTAGCGCGAAGCAGATGATCAGTTATGATGCAGAAAAATCATCTGATGACCTGAGTGAGAAATATACTAAAATCATAGACGGTCTTATGTCCTTTCCCTTGAACATCCCTGGTACAGCCTACTATAATTGTTCGAAGGTGATATTCAAATTGGCATATTATAACTAGCAACAAGTTTGTCTCCTTCGAATGAGATTTTACAAAAATTTAATGTCTTGGTATTCATTCAGCACCAAAAGAACGTAACAACCATGTTGAGGGATATGCTAAAGGAGAAATGGATTTCACCTGAGATGCGGAGAGGAGATTTCCTTGATCAAATCAACATTGACATGGAAAAGGAGAAATTTTTGTCAGAGGATTTTTCAGTTCAGCTGGTATTTGGGGGCTTTTTTGCCACCTTTGAGTCTATTTCTGCAGTATTAGCATTAGCTTTCAGTTTACTGGCAGAGCATCCTTCAGTTGTAGAAGAGTTGACGGTACGTAGACAAAGTTTGAGCTTCAATTTCATTTTCATAACTCCTCTGTTTAAGACCCTAATGATCAATTATCTTTTATGGTCAGGCTGAGCATGAGGCAATTCTCAAAAACAGGGAAAATCCAAATTCCTCACTCACATGGGACGAATATAAATCGATGACTTTTACTCTTCACGTTAGTTCCCAAATCTCAACAAGCATTTCCTTCTTCCTTGCACAACAGCTTTGAAAAAGACTTATAATTTGCTGGTCTTCGGAAAACATATAGGTTATCAATGAAATTCTTAGGCTGGGAAATGTTGCCCCTGGCTTATTTCGTAGAGCTTTGAAAGATATCCCAGTAAAGGG